ATTTACCAAGCATACCTGAGAGCTGGGTTCGGGCTGAATGAAACGTAGGTGGACGGGGTATATCCTCTTAAAACTGCATTCCTTTAGTTCCTCAGGCACTTGAGTTATCAATTTACACGAAAAAAATTTTTTCGGGCCCGTGTGTGGGTACCATGCTTACCCGAGGGCTGGGTTTGAGCCTACTAATATCCGCTTGGGCGAGGAACATTACCCCAAAATTTCAGCCTTCTAGCTTCTCAGATCCTCGAGTTATGAGCTGGTCCCCCCAAGATTTCAGCCTTCTAGCTTTTCAGATCCTCGAGTTATGAACTGATCCCAAAAAAACTTTGGCGGGCCTGTACGCGGGTACCACGCGGGTTTTGGCGCCAATTTTGGGGCCCCAAAAAAACTTTGGGGGGTCCGTACGCGGGTACCACGCGGGTTTTGGCGCCAATTTTGGGGAGTCCCAAAAAACTTTGGGGGGTCCGTACGCGGGTACCACGCGGGTTTTGGCGCCAATTTTGGGGATGGGCGGAACATTACCCCAAGATTTCAGCCTTCTAGCTTCTCGGATCCTCGAGTTATGAGCTGACCCCAAAAAAACTCCAAGATTTCAGCCTTCTAGCTTTTCAGATCCTCGAGTTATGAACTGATCCCAAAAAAACTTTGGCGGGCCTGTACGCGGGTACCACGCGGGTTTTGGCGCCAATTTTGGGGCCCCAAAAAAACTTTGGGGGGTCCGTACGCGGGTACCACGCGGGTTTTGGCGCCAATTTTGGGGAGTCCCAAAAAAACTTTGGGGGGTCCGTACGCGGGTACCTCTCAGACCCTCGAGTTATGAACTGACCCCAAAAAAACTTTGGGGGGCCCGTACGCGGGTACCACGCGGGTTTTCTTTGGGGATGGGGGCCCGTGCGTGCATGTAGATTATGTCCCCAAAGTTTCAGCCCCGTAGCTTTTGCCGGTCTCGAGATGAAAAACTGGTACAGACGAACACACACACAGACAACCTCTCGTCAATATGCGTTGTCTGCATTGCACAGCTGCAAAAAACGCATAAAAATGAAGTAGGGGGAGAGGCGGAATAAGTTGTAAATTCATCAGACGGTCGTAAATTAGCCGAATTATTCGACTTATTTATATTCTTATTATCAGTTGCATCCAGATGGGAAAAGTTACAATCCAGAATTGGCTCGTACCGAGGACAAATATGCTCCGGATTTCACCGAACAATTTGTGCAGCTGAAAGTTGCTTATGATACGTTGCGCCGGCCGAGCCGAAGGCAGCAGTATGATCGACTGATGGGTATCGAGCGTCTAAAGCGCTTCAATTCGGTCAGTTGTTTCCTGAAATCCGCTTTCTGTTGCCTTTGCAGTCATTTCAAAGCACGGGTTACACCGAAGTGCAGCTTCCTCAGTGGTGTACATGCTGAGTGTACATGGTTTCGGAGGAAGCATGTCTTCTAGTAAAAATACTAGGACCCCTTGAACGTGTGCGGTTCTTCTTTGGTAGCATTTCAAAAGTAATATTTCCGGCTGTATACACTTTTGTAGTTTTGCAAATAGAGGACTATTTCAGATGTTTTCGAAATTTCGTCGTCCTTTGTCCTTTTTTCCTTCAAATAATACATTTTACAGCCGCCAGCGGCAATTTTTCATTATTTCCTTATGCCATCATAACTCCTGTCATATTTTTTATGCGTTTTTTGCAGCTTTGCAATGCGGAAGACGCATATTGGTGAGAGGTTGTCTGTGTGTGTGTGTGTGTGTGTATCTGTGTGTATGTTGGGCCCCTGTACTGATTTTTCATCTCGAGAACTACAAGAGCTACGGAGCTGAAACTTTGGGGACTTAATTTACATGCATGTACGGGCCCCCATCCCTAAAACGGGTGGTCTTACCCGTGATTCGTGAAAGTTTTTTGCGGGTAAACCGCTAACTAGCGACTCAGAAAAGCTAGAAAGCTGAAATTTTAAGGGTATGTTCCTTGTCCATGCAAGTCTCAACGAGCTCAAACGTAGCGCTCGGGTTTGCGTGGTACCCATGTATGGGCTCGCCAAAGTTTTTTTCGGGTAAGTCGCTAACTCGAGCATTTGAAAAGCTGGAAGACTGTAATTTTAAGAGGGCATCCCCCGTCCACCTCACTCTCATTGAGCTCAAACCCAGCTCCCGGGTATGCGTGGTGCACACGAACGGGCCCATGAAAGTTTCTTCGGGTAAGTTGACAGCTCGGGAACCTGAGAAGCTAGAAGACTGGAATTTTGAAGGGGTGTTTCCTGGCAGTCCTGGCGGCCAGTCTGAAATCTTTTTAGCTAGAAGCATCTGTCGGAGATACAGTGTCGTTAGCGGCAAATATCTGCAGGAAATTATGCAAAAATATCTCCCTTAAATTCTTACTTTGATTTGATGCAGTACATAGCGTGGTCCTGTGCAGTAGGCATTTTTCCAGTTACTTTGGCCCATGCTGGATCGGCTGGGACTTAGCCTTTTGGCGGTCTCTTAAAGTCGCTTCGGCGGAAGAATTGCTCGGTGGTTCCTCCTACAGAAGTGCTTTGCAAATTTTTAGCCGTTTTGAGATATTATTAGTGTGTTGAGTGTTGTGCTCTTTTACTCCTAGACTGCAGTGTGATGCATTACTGACTAACTTTAATGTTACCTCTTCAACTGATCGTATTTTTAATTTCGTTTTGTATAATTAATCGAAGGATTGCATGGAAGCATGTGCTTTGTGAGAAGCATTTGTGCATTCGTGGATTTCGATTCAATCGCATCTCAGTAGAAGAATGGTTTTTAGGCACTTGGGCGTTTTACAAGTCGTTTCACCCTCGGTATGACAGAAAAGTCGTTTTTCAGAGATCGAAATCATCGACCAAGCTATACGATTATGAAGCAAAACCAGGCAATAGCAATTTAGCTGCGAGTTTTGCAATGACTGCACGGGAATTTATTAGCCGTGATTTTTACATTCGACTGGCTAATAGTACTGATAATTCGCTGATG